CCCCCCCCCAGAGGTGTCTGGCCTCTCTCCCAGTCCCTGGCCCTGCACCCACCTCCTCACCCCAGGCACCCAGAGCCCGCCCATACCTGGGGGTCAGCATAGGCAGCGTGGAGACCTTGCAGCAGCTGGCGCAACAGTGGGTCACGGCTCCAGGCAGGGCCTTGGGGGCACAGCCCCAGCTGGGTGCAGACAACTCCGGGCTTCTGGGGGGCAGAGTGGGGTCACGGGGCCCCAGCCTGGATGCCTGGGTTCTCTCCCAGGCCTAGGAGGGGATTGGGGGCTGAGGGATTATAGCAGGGGGGCTGGGAGCCTGGATGTCTGGGTTGTCTAGCTTTAAGAGAACTGGGATCTGGGGGTTAGAGTGGGGACCCTGGACACCTGGGTTCTCTTGGAGGCTGGAGCCCTGAACTCCTGGGTTCTTGCAGGGGGGTCTGGGGGATAGAGCAGAAGTGAGGTGAGACGCTGCGTCTCTGTGGGGGTGGTCTTGGGAAGTTAGAATGGGGAGGGCCTGAGAACCTTGACATCTGAGTTCTCTGAGGGGCTGAGAGCTGGGGGACGGCCCCTGGAAGCCTGGGTTCCTTGAGGGGGAGCAGGGACACCCGAATGCCTGGGGTCTCTAGGAGGTCTGGAGGGGTTAGAAGAAGGCAAGCTGTGACCTCAGATGCCTGGGTTCTCTGCAGGGAGCAGGGGCACTTGGATGCCTGGGTGCCCAGGCCATCTCCCTGAGGGGTGTGGGGGTCCCCCTGGGTCCCTGCCTGGGTTCAATTCATGCCTCAGTTTCCCCAGCTCCAAGGGGCTGCTCCACCCTCCCTCCCAGTTCTGGCCAGTGGAGTGGAGGGGGAGAGAAGGGGGGGCTGCACTCTGCACTTACGACTTGACCCTCCAGGGAGGCGAGGAGGAGGGCAAAGGCCTTGTCCACCAGCTCCTGGCACACGGGCACTATTGTAGGTATCGGCAGCGCCTGGCACTTCTGGCCCAGCGCCTGCTGCGGTGAGCCGGGGTGGGGGGAGGTGTCAGGGTTGTGTGGCATAGGGACCTCCCCGCAGCCCCCCAGCCCTGCCCTGGGTACCTTCACAGGTGATTCCTGCAGCATGTGGGTCAGGAGAGTGACGACCTGCTCGCAGTCACTGCACGTGTCCTCCTGGAGGGGCAGCCAGGCTTGGGGCTGTGCCAGCACCCCTCAGTCCCTACCTACAGCCCCCCTAGCAGTACCCCTCACTCCCAACCTGGAGTCCCCGGCCCCTAGGCACCTACAGTGAGGGTGCGGTCCCTGCCCAGCTGGGCACACAGCTCCAGGGCTCCACAGCGCTGGGCCGCAGCCAGGCTCTGGCACCAGGTCGCGGGGCCCCCGGCGCAGTCCTCGGGGGGCAGTGCAGGCAGGGCTGGGGGGAAACATCCATCAGCACCCTAAGGGGGGGGGAACCTAGGCATCCAGGCTCCTAGTCCTGCCCCCCCGAGCTGAAGGTGTCCAAGGCCCGATCCTTGGCCCTAGGGGAGCCCAGCTCTGGTGGGGGAGCTGCCCCAGCTGCATGGAACAGCCCCCACCTGAAGCTCCCCAGAGCAGAGCGAGCAGCAGCAGCTGGAGCAGGTCCATGGTGGAGCAGCCTGCTACTGCCCCAGAGGGCTTCCCTATATACCCCAGGGCAGGGACGACCTAGGCTCAGCCCACAGCCAGGGGGAGGGAGGGGCTGTGCCCTCCCTCCCTATGCCCCTCACTCTTGACCCGCAGCTCCCTGCTCCCTCAGCCCTGCTGGTGACCCTCACTAGTGCTCCCCAGCCTTGCCAGTGCCCCTCACTCCCAACCCACAACCCCCTGCTACCCTAACATTGACCTCCAGTTTCTATGCCACCCCACCCCCCTGCCGCTGAGACTCCAGGGTCCCCAACCAACCCAGCCCAGTCAGCACTGGTCCCAGCAGCACCACCCCACCTCCCCCAATAACCTCCTCCCCTCCACTGACAGCCCTAAAACTGGGGCTGGTCTCAGCATTGATCAGGGCCATGACTATGGGGAGGGAGTTGGGTCTGTGGGGGTCAATTTGGTGGTGCTAGGAGCCTGGACACTTGGGTTTTCTCCCAGGCCACCCCCTGCCCAGCCTGGGGCAGGAACCTCGTGCCTGGGCCTTGCCCAACTGAGCAAACAGCCCCTGAATGGAGCCATTCATGCCCCAGGTGGGGAAGGGAGGGGGCTATTTGTAGAGGGGGGGTTGATTGCACTGACTTATCTGGCAGGACCCCCCCCCCCCCCCCCCCCCCCCCCCCTCGAGG